CTCCCCTCCCATCCCTCCCCCCACCTCCAGTTCGCTCCTCTCTTTCAAAAGTAAAAGAAACACTCCTTCCCTGGTACACAATCCCCCCCGCACCCCTCCCACCACCCCAAGTACATTCTACTATGCAACCTTAATTGTGGACTCCTGTGATAACCATCTGTTTCAGTGCAGTATACACAATTTATCCCGTTTTTTTCTGTCTTACCCCAACCCTGATATCAGTCCCATTTTACAACAGTGGCACCATGCAATATTTGTCCTTTTGCATCTGAGATATTTCACTCAGCATAATGTCCTCCAGGCTCACCCATTTTGAATAATATTGCATGAGTTCCTTGTTTTTCAATGCAGCATAGTATTCCATTGTGTGAATATACCACAGCTTCTCTATCCATTTGTTTGTTGATGGGCACCTGGGTTGTTTCCAACTCCTTGCTATTGTGAACAGAGCCGCAGTAAACATGGGTGTGCATATATCTGCTTGGATGTCAGTTATGGTCTCTTTGGGATATATTCCCAGTAGTGGAATTGCTGGGTCAAATGGTATCTCTATTTGCAACTTTTTGAGAAAGTGCCATATAGCCTTCCACAGTGGTTACACCATCTTACACTCCCACCAACAGTGAATAAGGGTTCCAGTTTCTCCACAACCTCGCCAGCATTTGTTGCTTGCTGTTCTGTTAAATTTTGCTATTCTGACTGGGGTGAGATGATATCTCATAGTTGTTTTGATTTGCATCTCTCTTAGAGCTAGGGATTTTGAACATTTCTTCATGTGCTTGTTGACCATCTGAATGTCTTCTTTGGTGAAGTGTCTGTTCATATCCTGTGCCCATTTTTCTATTGGATTATTTACCTTTATCTTGTTGTGGTGCTCTGGTATTTTATAAATTCTAGATATAAGTCCCTTATCTGACATGTCATTACCAAATACTTTTTCCCAGTCTATGGTTTCCCTTTTTACCCTGTTGGAGAAGTTTTTGGATGTGCATAGGGGAGTGTGAATCTTATATCAAGGACGGTAAGACCATAGATGGGTAAGACCCATCTCATAGCTCGTGTGAGCACCCTATCAGGTCCAGAGGCAGCAGATTTCTGCTGTTCCCTGCAGGACTGGAACAGGTGGGAGGGAGATGCTCAACGGGAGTCTGGGCACTGCTTCCCCAGAATCACAAGGCCTTTGTCCATTCTGAAAAAGAAGGGCCTGTGGGTCAGGAGGACTAAGTAGCAAGCAGGAGAGTTTGGTATTAAAATGTGACCCACGGGACCATTGTGACCTGATCACACAATTATGGGAAGAAGACCCTGGTGTCAAAGAACCTACACTCGTGGATTACTAGGTGGCTGTCCAAGAAATCTCAGGAGAAGCAGCCCTTTCTTAGTGGAAGTTTGGGGAAATGGGAGACACTCCTTACCTCAGAGAGCCCTCTGCTCACTGGCCTGTGCATGTAGTACACAGGGGCCCTGGTGGTGCAGCTCTTATTCATTGGCGACTAATGGAAAGGTTACTTGTTCAGAACCCCCTAGGTGCTCCAGGATGACAATTCCAAGGCCATGCATGTGTATGCGTGGAAGGGAGTGGCCGGGCGCTGGAAGAGACCTAAGGACTCTTCTGCCAAGTGCATACTTTGTTGTATAAATGGCAGACGTTCACCAGCACTCCTCAGAGCCCCTCAGCCCTCTTTGTCACCATACCACTGGGAGAAGGGACCGACATTCTCTTTGCCATCCAGCTGCCTTGGGTTAGCCACTGAGGGTCCGCCCCTTCAGGACGTCCTCGAGGCTTTGTAAAATGCAGCACCAAAACTCACCAGGTTTCCATCAAGCTTTAGAAAAACTGCTTTGAGGGATGATCAAACTTTCTGAAGAACCCTCATCAACTGGGCCAATTAATTCCTTGCAGTGGAAACAGCGCGTTCATTCAGTCGCTCACCACTCCCTCGGTGGCTCCTGCAGTTCCTGAGCGCCCACTCCCTTGCGGATCCTGTGCAGGGACCTGAGAAGCAGAGCTTAAGACAGCCTCCTTCCCAGAGCGCACGTCGGGGCTGCAGCACCTGGCAGTCAGGGAGTGTGCTCTAACACAGGGGCCTGGAAAGAAAGGCGTGAGAAGCAGCTACGGGCACGTCCCACGGCGGGGAGATGAAGATCTGCAGAAAACCGCGACGATTTCACCGCGGGCTTCTCCAGCATCTCAGAGATGACATGGTTTTCCTCTGTAAATCTGGAAAACCTCGAAGACTTTCAGTGCTTTTTCGCCGGGACTCGCGCTTGGGTGAGAAGCTGTCCCACAGAGGGCGCTGTTCGCCCGGCTTTGAGTGGAGCCCTGGCGCAGGCGGCATCGGCGAGCCATTCTGCGCCACCCGTGGCCAGCTGTCCAGTGAGGGACCGCGCCAGCGGCCGGACCAGGCACCCACGAGCTTACTCTAAGCAGAGGAAGAGAACAGCCACCTTCCTGAAACGCAAGGGCTAAGCTAAAGGATTGACACCTAGAACGCCTCCTCCCTTGTAAAAAGTGTGCGCACAAGTGCACCTGCGTCTCAGGAGGAGACCGGTGGGGATAGTATCGACAGCAGGCAGCTGTCCCAGCCTCTTCTCTGGCCATCCTGGGTCTAGTCCCTAAAGTAGCTTAAGCCAAAAATTCGCCAGACCCAGCCAGGATCCACAGTCATTTTGGCAACATCTGTGAAACAATCCTTTCCCCAGGAGCCAGCTTTCTTTCTATGTTTCAGTTTAAAGGCACTTTCGAGGGGCCAGGATTTTGGCCATGTCGACCCTGCCCGGGACAGAACACACGCAGGGGCCTCTCAGTAGTGCTCTGCCCGTGTGGCTTGGGGGGTAGTTGGTGCTATAACCTGCACAGACCTATCCCCACCGATTAGGAAGAAAATGATCTGGAGGGTCCAGCACCAGCTGGTGACATTGGCTGGGACCTCCTCCTCTCTGGGGTCCTGTTTGCAGCTATAAAATCTGAGTGTGGGACACTCCATTTGGGTCTCAAAGCTGTGCATAGTTCCAACTCAGGCTTTGGATGGAGGCGCATTTTGCAAACCAGCAAAACCCTATATGAAAGCAAGGAAATCACAATACTTGTCTACAGAACACGCCAAGGTCTTGATGTGAAATTATGACTTATGGCTTTAGATGAATGTTTGCTGAACGAAACATGAAATGCGCTTGTCTAGAGTTAATGACAAAGGACCCGAGGCCACCCCGGGCCAGGGTAAAACTTAACCAACTTCTCAACCGGGGAATCCAAAGCGCTCAGCACTTAGGAACACCTTGAGTTAGGGGAGGGCGCGATCCACCGACAAGGAAAACACTGGGGCCTCCAGACGACCCGAGTGAGCAGGGAGCAGGCCTTCACCAGGGCTCAGTGGGGGCTACCACCTGTCTCTTGGGAAGGGTCCCCACAGCAGTTCTGTTACTTAAGGCTTAACTGCAGTCCTTACTGCCCGCCCCACGAACTTCTCGAGAGACCAAGAGCTGCTTTTTTAAAAATCGATGGAGTCAAGTGACCTTCTGCCCAGCTCCCCCGAGGCCCAGCCAGATTCTCTCGAGGCTTTGGCCGCTCAGAAGTGCTGCGGGCGCCTCTGGCTCTGCCACTGTGCCTCTCAGTTGGCCCTGCTCCCATTTGAAGGGTTACGCAGCCATCGGGAGAGTCTTCGCTGGAGAAAATGCTCCCTTTGGTGCCATGGGTTCTGAATTCGTTCCCACCTTGGGCACTGGCAACAGGAGGCCAGGACGGACTGCCCTGCGGGACGCATTCGTCTGCGCTGGACACCGCTGCTGGGGAGGCTCCTAGGAGCGGCGCGAGGGCTCAGGCTGGCTCTTCAAGCACTCGCGGGTACGCAGAGCGCAGTCTTTCCTTCTCCTTCAAGAAGGCTCATTTCGACTTTCCAAGACCTAGGGCCAAGACCACAGGGGTCCAAAGACGCAGTGCAGGAACTCCACCCTACCCGCTTACAGGCTAGTTGATGTGTAGGGAATCCAAATCTGACTTTTCTGAGAGGCGCACTTCTTAGCTCGCTTTCTGGGGAATATTGAAGCTGTGGACCCCATAGAGTAGGCAAGTGCCGAGTTCGCTGCAGGTCACGCCTCGCCGCCTGGGCCCGCGAGCTGTGGCTCTCCAGCCGCGTGGGGGCGGCGGGCCCTGGCCAGACCCCTGGGGGCGGGAGAGAGGCAGCTGCGAGCGCGGATAACCCCGAGGTGACCCGGACGGGCCGGGCCGCCCCGCCCCCTCCCGCAGGCCCGGTGGCGACGAGCGGGTCCCCGAGCCGCAGGGGGGAGAGGGCGGCGCCGGCTCGGGCGGGCGGCTGTCAGTGCGCTCCGGCCGGGGGCGCCGCCGGCTCCGCGTCCCTCGCTCGCCTCCTGCGCTCGCCGGAGCGCTCCGAGAGCCTCTTTAGCAGGAGCCAATATCCTTTTGTGCTAATAGGCTTGTCCTCATTTGCTGCCTAATTGGACTATATAAAGCCAATAACAGGCGGGCTCTTACAGCCCGAAGCCAAAGCGCCAAAATCGGAGGGAAGGCGAAGAGGGGGCGGTGGTGGAGGCGGCTGCGGGCCGGGGCTCGGCTGCGCCTTCGCCTGCCTAATCCCTTTTGCCATTGTACGCGCCCAATCGCCGTATACTCCCCGCATTTAACTTGGATGACATTTTGATTTCATCATTAGCATCCGGCGCCGGATTGACGCAGCCCCGAGCCGCGGACGGCTCTAGCCGCCTCCTCCCCGCGAGCAGCAGCAGCCCAGCCGCCCAGCCGCCTCGCTCCCTCCGAGCCGCGGCCCGGCAGCTCCCCGCCGGCGTCCCCTCCCCCATGCGCGCCCGCCCCGGCCGCCGCCTCACCCCGCCCTCTGGCCGCTCCGTTCCCGCCCGGGGCGGCCCCCGACTTTGCGCCCCGTAGTGGAGTTCCACGGATGGTCTGATTTCCGGCCTCCCGCCTGCTCGCCCGGCTGCCGGTCTGTCCTGCTCCCTCCCTCTCGGGGACCTGGAGAGAGGGGACCATGCCGGAGCCTGGGCCGGACGCCCCCGGCGCTGCCAGCGCGCAGCCCCCACAGCCACCTCCCCCGCCGCCCGCACCCAAGGAGTCCCCGTTCTCCATCAAAAACTTGCTCAACGGAGACCACCACCGGCCGGCCCCCAAGCCGCAGCCGCCCCCACGGACGCTCTTCGCGCCGGCTTCGGCCGCTGCCGCCGCTGCCGCGGCCAAGGGGGCCCTGGAGGGCGCCGCGGGCTTTGCGCTCTCGCAGGTGGGCGACCTGGCTTTCCCTCGCTTTGAGATCCCGGCGCAGAGGTTTACCTTGCCCGCGCACTACCTGGAGCGCTCCCCGGCCTGGTGGTACCCCTACACCCTGACCCCCGCCGGCGGCCTCCTCCCGCGACCCGAAGGTAAAGACCTTTCTTTGAACTTTTCTTGCCGCCCCCTCCCTTTCAAACCTTGCCCCGCGCTGTCGCCCCTCTACTTTGGGACTACTGTTGGCCTCTGCCCGCACCCCCTTCCGCGCGCTCGGGTGCAGTCCCCTGCACAAATCCCCCTTGGGGAGAAATGAAGTCGGAGATTGGGGCGCGGCGTCACTAGGGAAAATGTGGCCTCGGGCATAAGTCGGGAGAAGGCAGGTGGGCAGAGCTAAGGCTGGAGTCAGGGAGCCACGGGACAGCCCCGGAGTGGAGGCGACTCTCCATGGCGCCCCTACTTGAGGAGCTGAGGCAAGGAGGGAAGTGACCTCACCATCCCCAGCCCCTGGTCCCTGTCGCTGGCCCTCCTTCTCCAAAGGGTCCCCGGACGCAGGCCTCCACCCTGGTCAGGCTTGGGAGGAGGAGAGAGGCCAGAATCAGGGTGGGGACTGTCACCTAGTCTCCAAACCCCACTGAAAACTGTGCCGTGTGTGTGTGTGTGTGTGTGTGTGTGTGTGTGTGTGTCCCCGTCTGTCCGTCTGTCTCTGCAGCCTCGGAGAAGGTCATCTTACGAGACTCCTCCCCTGCCTCGGGCACCGACCGCGACTCCCCCGAGCCGCTGCTCAAGGCCGACCCGGACCACAAGGAGCTGGATTCCAAGAGCCCGGACGAGATCATCCTGGAGGAGAGCGACTCGGAAGAAGGCAAGAAGGAGGGCGAGGCGGCGCCGGGCGCGGCGGGGGCGAGCGTGGGCGCGGCTGGGGCGCCGGGCGCCGAGGACTGGAAGAAGGGCGCCGAGAGCCCCGAGAAGAAGCCGGCGTGCCGCAAGAAGAAGACGCGCACGGTCTTCTCGCGCAGCCAGGTCTTCCAGCTGGAGTCCACCTTCGACATGAAGCGCTACCTGAGCAGCTCGGAGCGCGCCGGCCTGGCCGCGTCGCTGCATCTCACCGAGACGCAGGTGAAGATCTGGTTCCAGAACCGCCGCAACAAGTGGAAGCGGCAGCTGGCGGCCGAGCTGGAGGCGGCCAACCTGAGCCACGCGGCGGCGCAGCGCATCGTGCGGGTGCCCATCCTCTACCACGAGAACTCGGCGGCCGAGGGTGCGGCGGCGGCGGCGGGCGCTCCAGTGCCGGTCAGCCAGCCGCTGCTCACCTTCCCTCACCCGGTCTACTACTCGCACCCGGTGGTCTCGTCCGTGCCGCTGCTGCGGCCCGTCTGAGCTCCCACCAGGGGAGGCGGGGAGCGCGCGCCCCAAGAAGACTGGCCGGGCTGCGGGCCGGGTGGAGGGACAAGGCGTCCACGGCCTTCTGAGCGTGGGGCTCGGGCGCGGGGAGATCCGGCTCCCGCTCCCCCAGCCGGTAAAGTTTTGTAAGTATTTACGGTGCATTTTCGTGCAATTCATCCAGCTGGATTTGAGGCACTTCCCCTCTTACTTTTGGGTTTGGTTTATGTTAAGAGGCAGGAGGAAGAAAACAAAATCTCCGGGTCAAATCTTTCGGCTGAAGGTTTTTGTAAATGGTCCAGTCCTCCACACACACCCGAATTTTGCACTGCGCTGTGTCTTTTGGGTTTTATTCTTATAGAAGGAGAATAAGCGCGAGATAAGAATCCCTCTGGTTTATTCACTTTCTATGGAAGTATTTTCAGAAGTCCAGAGAGAGAGAATTCCTGTGGTCCTACCTTCATGTCTAGATTTCTGGGTGTGGTCCCCCCACCAGGCAGCCTCCCTAGTTTGCAGACTCTAAATCGGCCCCCGCTGGGAACCCCACGGGGAGGGGTCTGCGCCATTGCCCCTCCATTGAGCCCTCTTGTGACGGAGGAATTCACGGACGAAATGGTTAAAAAGAACAGACGGCTCCAAACTGGAATTCTGTGTATGGAAACAGCTTAACATCTGACCCGTTTTGAGCAGCCTTATATATTAGTAGTATTTTATTTAGGAAGTCTCACTTGTTGGTAAATTATTATCCAAATATGGCTACTGTTCTTTTGTTCCCTGTTTCGAGAGTAATTTCGATATTAAACAAAAAAGTGGGTCTCTTACGCTCTCCTCTGCCTCCCCCTCTGACCCCGGTAGCTATTGTGCGTTTGACCTGTGCAATATTGTACAGACATTCCTGCGAGCCGCTCCGCTCCCGGCGGAGGGAAGCAGATGTTTTCGGTGGATCCTCGTGGCTATTCGTGTAGGAAGCTGAGAATAAGGATGGAGGGAGAACAGGAGAGGTAGCGTGCTCAGAGGAGGACGTTAGTGTACTGGAGCGCTTTAAGTGAAGGACAATCAATTTAGGAGAATTTTAACTTATTTGATAAATGTACAGATTTCTTGTAAAGTTCACCCCCAGTTCTGCAGGGCTCCTCGGGCCGCCACCCAGTCTGTTTTCTTTCTGTCCACACCGCTTTGTTTTCCCCCTCACCTTCCCACCTCTGCCCGGAGTCAGCCCCTTTTTAAAAAAAAACAAACGAGGTGGGGAACCCAGCCCACCCCACAAAATATTGTTACATTGAATGTTGTCGTGAAATTGAATTAATTAAAAAAAGAGAGAAAAAGCGAAGCCTTCCGTGTTTCAGAGTGTGTAACTTGGGAAAAGGTTTTCCGGAGCGGGTGTCCTGCCTCCTTTGGCGCCGCCTCCGTGCCCCGGGCCGAATGGGACCTGGACTGGACGCCCTTCCACCGTCCAGCGGGGACAGAGGGGGCTTTGTTCGCGAGCAGCGGCGCTTTCCCTCTGGCATTGCCCCGCCCTCCCCCCAAAACTTGAAACGCCCAGCGACCTGGGAGCTGTGTGGGCGGAATGGGTGAGGACCCAGGTTTATCTGGGATGGTCTGGAGAACAGAGACGCGGCGGCTGGTGTTGGCACATTTGGCACAGGGCTTCTGCCTCGCTTTCGCTCCGAGGCTGCGAGCCTTGCAGAACCGAACCCTTCCCGAGGCACTGGTCAGCGGGTTGGGAGCACGATGGACTCTGGTGGCCTCCGGGATCCAGACGAGAAGCGGTGAAGTCTGGCTGAGAGGGGCAGCTTCGGGAGACCAACCCTAGGGACCAAGCCTTGGAGACCTGCCGCGGGTGTGGCTTGGCTCAGGGCGAGGCCCAGTGTTATGGCAAGTGCTAGGAACAGGGAGGACCTTGTCCCCCTCCAAGCCAGGCAATTCTCTGCCCAGCGGAGCTCAACGCTTCAAGAGCAGGCTTTTCTGGCCTTCCTGCCCTTGTGTCCACAGTGCGCTTCACGAGGCCGGGAACCAGGCCACCCGCAGGTCCTGCGGAAGCAGATGGCCTGTGCGCCCCTTACCAACACCGCGAAGCCGCCTGCCTTAAGGCGCCGGTCCCCGCAGGGGATTTGGAAGCTGGGGTACAGGGGAGAGCTGGAGAGCTGGGGCGCACGCGGCGAGAGGTTTCGGAGAGCCTGGCGCAGGGCGCATCCGCTGGGGAGGGCCTGCCGGCGCGCCTGTCTGCTCCCAGTGCTGTGCCCTCGTCCTCGAACTCAATCGACTCAATTGATTCTACTCTGGCTGAAACGTCGAGTATTGTTTTCTGTTGATGGAAAACCGCCCCCAAATAAACCGGCATGCGTATTTATGGTAAAATTTAGCCTGGCCTCCGGTGAAGATAGATCTCCCTTTATTTCCCTCTGGTTTGGAATAAAAACGCGAGTATGTGTCGTAAATGAAAAATAAACAGAAATTCGGGGTCAAAATATGTTGTGCCTTGTGTTACCTGCAAACAGAGCGATGGCTGTGACTGTTGGCAGTACTAACCGCGGGACCGGCCAATAACAGCTCATTAAAAACAATGTTGCAACAGCAAACACGTTCTGAGATTCTTACAGCCAGAACTCGATGTTATCAAGCTCCCAGAAAAAGACTTCTTTATTTGTGTTTGGATTCTGGAAAACGGTTCTTGACTGACCTGGTCTTTACAAAGTCGAGAAATAACTGGTTTTCCACAGGCATCCTTATTCTTTGTCCTGCCCCGCTGCCCCGCGCCTCCTTTTCCCTCCTGTCGGCGGCGAGCCCCACTGCCCAGCGCCAGGCAGCCCTCCCCAAGGGTGCGAGGGTGCGCGTGCCAGTTGGTGACCTGGGCACCTCCAAGGGTGATCAAGAAGCCAGCCCAGGCGGGAAACTTCTGCTTCCCTCCTGCCCGGGGCGGAGGTCGGATTAACTCTAGCTCCAGAGTAGAAGTGGAGCCCAGGTCCGAGCTGCTGAGCCTGGAAGCAGCTCCCTATGGCGTCCTAGATGCGACATTCTTCCTCAGGCCTTAGTGTCACGAGAGGCCACGGGAGGACTTGGTGAGACTGTCACAGTTCCAGAGCTGGCTGGTTCACCTTCCAGAGCCCCTGATCTGCAGGTCCCTCTTCAGGGATTACCTGGAGCCCTTTGGGAACCGCTCGCCCAGCGGAAAGAGCTCCTTTGAGGCAGTGAGGATGCCGTGCCGACTTCCTGGGATTCCCTACCCCCCTCCAACCTCTATGCTAAAACACTGCGTCGATCAGGCCGCGTTTGCTTTCTCTACACGAATTCCAATTTCAGATCCTTCTGGTTCTGAATCCTAACCAAACGTCAAACTAAAAAACCAAGGAACTGCAAACTCCACTATCTGCCATGGACAGGACTTTTCTGCACCCCCTGCACTCCCAGGCATATACAGGCAAATGGGGCACAGGGTGTGCGCGCGCGCAATTCACACTCTAGACACATCCGGGCGCACAGCTGCAGTGACGTGTCCGAACAGACACAGCTGGCCACAGGTTTCTGACTCCCCATCCACACGTGTCTTTAGCGTCACAGCTATGGCAAAGGCCCAGTCATGCGCACCTTCCTTGAGGTGACCCTGATTTTCTCTGATGGTCCCAAGCTAAGGGATACAGGAAGCACCTTCAGGAAAGAATTTGACCCGGAGCAGGTGGCTGCCCACGCCCCGTGGCACAGATCCCAACCTCTGGCTTCCTCCTTTCCTCACCAGCTACCAGGAAAAACTAACGGAACCTCCCATCAGCCCAAAGTGGACCCCACAGTCCCATAGGCCAGGGCCTCACTCGGAACCAAGGGTCTGCACGGGTGCTGCAACCCTGCGCACCTCGGAGACAGCAGAACCGACACGCAAGCTGTTTCTGTTGGCAACACAGATGTATTTCTTTTATTTGGTAGTAAATAGAGCGGGTATGTGTATAGCAAACAGCAAGACAGATATAAACTGCCCCTAGCCACTGGGTGCCAAAGGCAACGGGGCCAGGCGGAAAGAGAAGGCCTAGAGGTTGGTGAGATTTGCCCTGCTCTTCCGCGGGTGCGCTCTGGGGCTCCGGGTGGGATGAAGTAGGAGGATTGAGACCGGGAGGACCTGAGGACTACGCAGCCTTAAATGTCCCCGCTAGACGTCACCCGCAGGCCTCCTGGGGGCCGCCTATCGCCTAGACACCTGAACACCTGGGGCGCGCACTGCCCACCTCGTTCTTCTTTGCCCCTCTCTCGGCTCCGCTCTCCCCGAGGTCCGTGCTCTGCAGCCCACTGGCCCAGGGAGGGGCTCTGAGGGTCCAGCCTCTGCCAAGCAGCTTGAGAAGGCCCCCTACTGGACCATGCTCCGCAGAGTCGTGGCGTGAGGAACCCTGAGCCCCAGTGGAATCCTAGTTTGGCGTCCAGAGCTCAGCTCTGCAGCCTCGAGGGACGAGACTCGCGCCCGCGCGTCCACGTGGCGTCGTAGGGGCGCCCCGCTCGGCTCTTCCCCGGGCTCCCCGCCCACCGTGCGCAGCGCACCAGCGCTGCCTGCAGGCGTTCCCGGGCGGGCTTTCGGGTGCATCTGGGCGTGGGTGTCTGGAAGCGTGCAGCCCTCCGGCCTTTAAGTGCGCGTGCGCCCATCTGGGAGTGCAGGAAGGATGGTGTTGACCTTTTGACCTGCAAACAGTTGGGTAGCAGAACAGAGGCTGAGGGCGCAAAGATAACGAGGCCAAGGGCCTTCGGAGCTCTGCAGGGTGCCTTGCCCGAGCATCTCGGGTTGACATGTAGGGTGCACTTGCATCCTCGCGTGCCACTTCGGCGAAAGTGTCCTGGAGGTGCCTCGAGTGGGGAGCTTCGACTGCAGGAAACAGTGCTGCATGCGTCAAGCTGCTTGGCCCTCATTGGGCCTCATTTTCCGTCTGGAATTCTTCCTCGTCCCTCCGCCTCCAGAACCCCGTAAGATCGCAATAGAGTATAAGCATTTTCTGAGCTACGAGGCAAACGACAGAAGGAGGCTGCTGTCTGCCTCACTGACGAGCTCCCTGACCGAGTGGTACTTGTCCAGGGCGGGTCCTTGGCCGCTCTTCGAAGGACACACCTTCTATGGAGAGAAACCAACCAACCTCTGGGTCCGAGGGATTCCCAAGGGCTTCCTTCCTTACGGTTGCGATGGATGGAGAGGGGGGAAAAGAAAAAAAAAAACCTAGGAAGGAAGGCAAAGAGAGAGCGACAGGGCGCCCCAGAGATTCTGGGCGCACATTCGGCCAAGGTGGCGAGGTGGCGTCACCTGACGTGCCTCCCCCGAGAGCTAATGTCTTAAAGAAATAGAAAGACTATCCTCCCTTGTGAGCGCTTCCGCTGCCTGACCCCCCTTGGTGATGGAGTGCAAGGATCAGATTTTCATCAAAGTTCTATTAAGTGAAACATAGGTTGCAGGGCACCCTTTGATTGAAACAGTTTAAATTTTAATTGTGTTTTTAATTTGACATATAGTTGCAGAAAGGAATGACACTGCGTCGCCAAGGGGCGGTCGATTTTCTTAATTTCTCCCAGAGGAATTGATGAGTCTATCAGGGCCACTAGATTGGAAACCCATTAAAGTTCTCTGGTTAGGCTGCTAATTGGAACTTGATGGATGGGGGCGGGGGGGGGGTGCCGGGACTCGGCTAGGCCGATCCAATCTTCATGACTTTCTGTTTTCCAATAAATTACACAATTCATTTTCCAGCTGCAGATTACATAAATTGTACACCTCTGGGGCGCTCTTTTTCAAATAGGGAGCTCTTTCCCCAAAAGCCTATTGCAAGATGTCATTTGCACCAAAGAACGAACAGCAGAGGCCCTTGAATGAAAATCGAAACATAATCAACGTTTATACTTAGAAAATTTATTGAGATCATTTTCTCTGGTATTTCCTTATTTTAAAGTTTGGACGCGCCATATATCATAATCCACCCGCGAAAGGGTGGGGGAGGCTGTGTTTAATATTTATCGAAGCTTGATTCCAAGATCAAACTTGTTTATGACTTCATCTGTCATTTCGGAGGGAGCCTTCTTCCACCATTACCCCGGCTCAGCCAGCCCATTTCCCGACTGCCGCAGAGCAGGGAGGATCAATTTTTATTAGGCACCTCGGCGAGTTCGCTCTGGGCCGCTTCCTTATAGAGCAGCCTAATCTCAGGGCCGAAACTTTAAGCGTCCTTCCAGTCACGGAAAGTTTATAATTCTTTGGGCCCCATTTTAGGCCTGATTCCAGGGGCCGGGGGGCGTGATCCCACAGCCGAGGAGGGGGCGGAAACCCGCCTGGATGAGGCCGGTGAAGTTGGACAGCGGAGTGGGTGAAGCCGCAGGCGCATGTGGGGGGCGGATATTTAGTTTAAGGGTAGCCTTATCTGGGTTCAAGGGCATCAGGGTGAGGGCAGGGGTTGGCCTCTGGAACTGAGGGTTCCGGGAAGACAACTTTGCAGCGGCCGGGCCCAGAAGAGAGGTCTGAACCTCGCCTCTTCTAAGTCTCAAGAATTCCTCCTCCAGGTGCCCAAAGAGGTGGTCGAGTCTTGATGGTCAGAGGAGAGGGAGATCTACGACTGCAAGGGCTCAGGGGTGCGGGAGGGGGACACCTGGGGAGTGTCCGTCGGGTCTGCCTGGACTCTGCTGCCCAGCCTCTCTGGAGAGAGAGAGAGAGAGAGAAAGGAGGGAGGGAGGGAGAAGAGGAGGGGGAGAGGGACAGAGGGAGAGAAAGAGAGAGATTGATTAAGTCTAAGTCTAGAAGATGTACCGCACCGTTTCCGGGGTTTGGACTTCCAAGCTAGAACCCAAGCACAAGTCCTAGTTGCTTCTCTAGCCTGGGCTCCGCCCAAGGGCTGTCCGCCACCGTAGAAGTGTCTCTACCAGGGGCCTCTCCGGAAGGGATGGGGGATCCCGGTCCACCCACCGCTCATTTTGGGCCCTGTGGCAGTCTTCTCCACGGCCTTTCCCAAGCTCAACGCCACTACTCTCCCCTAGAGAGTGAGACTAGCCGTGAAGGCGACCGTCTGCGTCCATCTGGTTTCTACTCCTGGCCTTTTTCCAAGCCTCAGTTCCTCGCTTGCACATGGGGCGAAGAAGCTGCCTCACAGGGACTGAGGGTAAAGGGAAGAAAGACGGCGGCCCAGCACCTTCCTGGCACCAAGTATCTGTTAGCTCAGGAAAAGTTCCTCCCGCTCCCTGTCCTAATCAGCTCTGGCCTTGGTTGGTCAATTTCCCTCGGGATCCCTTGGCCCCGCACCTGAGAAAGCGTCCAGCTTGGCTAGATCATGCGGGCCCAGCAGTTGGGTAGATTTATTTTCTAGGACCTCCCAGTACCCCCCAGCAGCGCGGGCGCGCGCGGGACGGGCTATCCCGTGGCCCGGCCCAGTGAAGGAGGGCGCGCAAATTGTATTTCAGCTCTGGGTCCTTCCGGGTTAATGAGCTGACACCATGATTAAAGCTGACCATTTGTAATGTGTCTCGACCCCGCCACCGAGCCCTGAAGAGGTTAATGCGGTGACGGAGGCGGGCACCTGCCCCTCGCCAGGAGCCCGGCTGCAGGCCCCCGCCCCAGCCCGGCTGCGCGCCGACTCCTAATCAATTAGCCCATTAACGAGCCCTCGGAGGAGTTAAGTAGGGAGAGGCTCACCGCGGGCTGGGCCGCAGTTGGGAACTGGCCTAGGCTAATGATATTATAAGCGCTTTACTCCAGAACCTGGGCGCGTTGCGCCCGCGCCAGGAAATGCAGCGTCATGGCGCCGCACCTGCTATTTCTGGGGACTCGTTAGAGCTTCTCTCCAGCACTGGCCACATTTGGGGTTGACCTGGGGGCAGCATTCTCAGAACCTCTTTGTCTAGTGGCCCTGAGGACCAGCTTGGGAACCTTGCTTTCGTTCCTTCCCTGACTGTGGCCCCCTGGTTAGCTCCTGTCAACTGGAAATCTGGTAACAGCTGACCTAGGAACCGAAGGGCGAGACGCAGGGCTCAGAGAGGGGCGCGTTGAGCGCCTGGCATTGAGTGCACAGAAGTCACTGCTCTCCTCGGTTTTAGGAGTGGGGACGCGGAGGTTCTGGCAGTTCCATAACTTGGCCAAGTTACCCAGCCAGGATTAGAACTCTCTCTGCACTATTCTAAGACCCTGTCCTCTCCTCCTCACCCCCACCTCCTTCTGGTTCTGCAGCAATTCTAAATGCTCATTATTTACCAAAAACCGAGATTCACTTATGAGACTGGTGGGCGGTAGGCCAGTCGACAAACATCTCTGAAAGGGAGGCCCCACTATGTGATCCTAATACCCTAGGCCTTCGGGCACATTTTTACCCTAAAGTGGTCCTCACAATAGAAGGGGATACACTTGTGACAAGTTGACATGACATATGATGCCAGTGACGCTCTAACTGGGGCCAGCCTTGTCCAAGTTCACACATTAAGTGGTGACGTTGGGACTCGAACCAGGATCTTCTGGCTCTACATATAGGACTTTCGCCTGCCCTGTAGGGCCCGTGACCGTGGTGCAGGTGGGCTCCCCGTACCGTGGCTATGCGATGGGAAAGTTGGCGGACACATACTCCTCACCCCCACGCGGGGCTCTGGGACCCGCGTGGTGGTTTCGCTGGAGCCTGGGGGATCTGGGGGACTTGGTGGACCCTCTGGCAGAGCATCTCCGAGGGCACAGAGACCCGTGGCGGGCGGGAGGCGTCGGGCTTCTTCAGCTCATAGCTGTCCCACTCGAGAGGTGGGCGTCCACGCCGAGGCCAGGAGCCCCGGGCCCCACGCGCTCTGGGCGCACCAGCCGCGTGCAGGGTCCGGCCTTTTTGAAATTTCCGGGGCCGCTCGGCGGCGCTGCGATTGGCCGCAGCCGGTAACCTCTATGCAAATAAGGCCGCGCCGCCCCCACCGCCGAGCCCCGCGAGCAGCAGAGCATTTGGGCCGAGGCTAGGCGGGCGCACCCCGAACCGCGCGGGCAGGGACCCCGC